TTATTTACATTTAATTAGTGTTCAAGTTTGTGCAACATTTTTGTAAAAATCCCCAAATTAAAGCCAACTGTCTGTCCTCCCTGTACACTGTGGTAGTGCATAGTGGCAAAACTCAAAAAGTTATCTGTGTTAAACAAATTATGGATCTTATTATTTAGATTATACTATTTATTTATATTCCTGTAATGTCTCTTTGGGGGTGATCGTGGCTCAAGAGTTGGCAGCTCGTCTTGCAATCGGAAGGTTGCCGGTTCGAGCCCCGGCACGGACAGTCTCGGTCATTGTGTCCTTGGGCAAGACACTTCCACCTACTGGTGGTGGTCAGACGGCCCGGTGGCGCCAGTGTCCGGCAGCCTCGCCTTTATCGGTGCGCCCCAGGGTGGCTGTGGCTACAATGTAGCTTGCCATCACCAGTGTGTGAATGTGAGGGTGGATGACTGAATGTGTAAAGCACTTTACTAGTCATTAGGGACTAGTGAAGTGCTATACAAATACAGGCCATTTACCATTCTTTGTTTTTTGTTTTTTACTTGTATTGCTTAGGTATCCAAGAGGCATCTACTGTGACAAAACAATCTGATGGTAAATAAAAACTGTCTGTCTGTATTTTTCTATTATATAAAACATATTGTTGGGTGAATGCCAAAAAGCATTCAACCAACTGAGTTCCTGTTTCTTTGTACTTCATTATTATTCAAGTTGCTTTGTTTTTTGGCCTAAAACTATTCCCATAGTTTTTCTGCTATTTTCACCATTCAAATATTAAAATTTGAATTTGGAAATTTGCTATTTCTGCTTTCATCTGCTATATCTTTTGGTGTAATTTTTATACTTTTTAAAATATTAAGCTTTTTATGTGATTTTTTTCCCCATTGAAATAAATGGGAAACGTCCCACAAATATCAACTTCCTTTAAAACTTGCTTGTGTTTGAAGCTTCACTGCTTTCTCATGCTTTCACCTACAAACACCATTCAAACTTTAAAATGTTCCCGCCGTTATTGGTCTGTCATTGATCTTTCATATCTCTTAACATTTTCTTAAAATCCCTTGTTAACTTTTGGTTGGAAAGAGGAGAATTTTTCACATAGAACATGGGTTGTTATCATTGCTACAGACCACTGAACAGGCCATGTACTGCCCCTTTGTGAATCTGTTCTTCATGTCCAAACAAATGCTACTAACTCACTCAATTTTCATTCTATCCACACACAAATTATATATCAAAACATAGGTTATTTTGTTGGCTTTCAGAAAATGTCACTGGTATTATTGTAGGAGTTACCATTTTCTTGCAAATTGCCTTGAAGCAACACAAATTCAGAAAACTTCCCAAATTAAATGTCTATGGCGACTCCAGTGAAATCACAGCTGATATTCTGTAACGGGATACATTTTCAACTCGTCATATGTCCTAAACACTAACCCCTAGAGATATGAGCCTGGTGCCAGTATATCTTCAGACACTCACTGTGTAAAAAGTTTTTTTGATACCTTTTACCATGTTCCCATGAATTACGTTTGCTTCAGGGTAAGAAATCTGTCCTTCTCTCAGATTTCAAACTCTGGAAATGAAGCTGTTTTTTCTCTCATCATATCTCCTAGATGGATTTTCCTAGGGACCTGAAACCATTGCTTTGATTGTCCACCAAAACCTGCTGATTCTTACAGTGAATGAATGATATTGTTAGCCTGAGTACTTTTCGAGTTACAGAATGTTTAGTAACAGCAAGAAACGGCGGTTTTTGCTTCTCATCTAACACTACAAATTTAGAGGCCTGTTTAGGTCACTGGGAGGAGCCCAGCTTTAGCTAGAGTAGAGAAGGCATTCTGACAACAGAAGACACTGGTTTGAAACATACCTTTGGCAGTATGTTTTCAGCAGACAGTACTACTTTTTTTGGCTGTTTTCAGCAGACCATTTCAGGTACATGGCATTCACCTGGCATTTTCGCAGGAAATGCAACTCTTTCTAGTTTGAAGTGTTTTGAAGTGTTGAAGTGTTTTTTTAAACTTGTATTGCTTAGGTACCCAAGAGGCATGTACTGTGACACAACAATCTGAGCGTAAGTAAAAACTGTCTCTCTGTATTTTTATATTATATAAAATATATTTTTACAAGTGTTTTTCAATTGAAGATTTTTTTTAACTTGTATTGCTTAGGTACCCAAGAGGCATGCACTGTGACACAACAATCTGATAGTAAGTGAAAACTGTCTCTCTGTATTTTTATATTATATAAAATATATTTTTACAAGTGTTTTTCAATTGAAGATTTGTTTTAACTTGTATTGCTTAGGTACCCAAGAGGCATGCACTGTGACACAACAGTCTGATAGTAAGTGAAAACTGTCATTCTGTGCGTATTTTTCTATCCATCCATCCATCTTCTACCACTTATTCAGGGCCGGGTCGCGGGGGCAGCAGCTCAAGCCAACAAGCGCAGACCTCCCTCTCCCCAGTCATCTCCTCCACTGATGTTCTGGTGGGAACACCAATGCGTTCCCAGGCTAGCCGAGAGATATAATCTCTCCAAAGTGTCCTGGGTCTGTCCCAGGGCCTCATCCTGGTGGGACATGCCTGGT